TTCTATCAATTAACTTGTATTAGCAATTTCATTCAGACAAGAAGTTGCATCTCAGCAACAGAAATCCTCATGACAGTTAAAACCAAAAGGCACAGAATTTGCAGAACAGAAATAAAGCACCTATTAAGAAACTCTAATTGTTGCACTCTATGAAAATCAACTAACTGGTGGTTTAAACTCGGAGCTTATCTGAAAGAGTAGAGATTTACAGTAACAAAATGTTTCTGCACATTATACAAGAACTGACGAGGAAGAAAAGAACATTTTTGACTCATTTGTTTTTGTTGTTGATATCCATACCTTGGTCTTTAGTAGTATTTATTTGCTAGATAGAATAAAGGGGTGAGATTTTTTTAAATAGAAAGTTTTCAGCTGACAAACCACAGCCTTATGAGTAGTGGCATCAGTTAGAATGTATTATACAAAACTGGCTCATAGCTACACGATCTTCATATTTTTCATAAAGTATCTACTTAAATTACAAATTTCATTTTGCCAGGCGCAAAATACAACATTATCAGATTTTTACCTACTACTATATTAATATCACTATTTACAGAGTACATATAAATAGAGCTCAAAAGAGCTCTAGAGCTTCAAAATTTCAATTGTAGTTCCAACAAACTCTTCTGATGAAAATTTCTGCAACTAGTTTTAAAGAATTAAAAAAAAAATTCAAATTATAAAGTACTAGAAAATGCAAAAAGCAATCCTCTAGGTTTTCTATGTAAAATTGTGCTTAAAAATAAAATTTCCTCTCAGAAGAGGAAAAGATTATAATTGTTGCTGCCAATATAGATAAAAATTGGCTACTTTTAAACTCCAATTTCAACAGAGTTTTATGAAAATACATATTAGCAAAGTCACTTAAGCCAGACACCATTTTTTAGGCTTCCACATTCAAACAGGACAATTCAGTAACTCTTTAAATAGATAGTTACAATGGATTTAAGTAGAGACAGATAACAAATGCAATAGAATTCATTGGTTGTAAAATATCTCATGGCTGAGTCTCATGTTTGCACTACACAGGGTAACTGCAGTCTTGGATTGGTTGTCCATGAGGGGTAGGAAAGAATTCTCATTCTCCGAGTAGTTTTTGCCTCAGGAGGTCTGCAGGAAGTAGCTCTCCGAGACTGCAGAGCTATACTGGCTCCCTGATTCTTTGAACACAGCTGTAGCAAATAGACCGGAAAACTGTTCTGCTTTCCTCGACAGTGGAGTCTTTTCTGTTTCGGTTGCACAAAGCTACGCAAATCAAGTCTAAATAGTGATTACTTACTTGCTTTCAAAAGCAGCTAAGTTAGGGTCCAAAGAAATTGTCTCTGCTGTAATTTCCACCTTTCTTACACTGCCAAAGAAGTCTGTTATCAGAACATTTTCAGGGTCTCGCTGAAAGAGATCAGTTCGATGGCCAGGTGTAGAAACACACAAACTTTTTGGACAGACCTGAAACTAGAAAACAAAATTGACAATCATATTCTGCCCCTCATCAATCAATAGTCTCTGTAGGTAGCTTCCAAAACAAAATTACTACAAAAAGAAAGATAAACGCCACACATAATGTACATTAATTACTGTACAAGTTCCACAGCTGGAAAAAGTGATTCAACAAAAATATTAAAAGGTACATGCATTGCTCTATTTTAGAAAACCCTTTCCATACAAAGACATTTGTCACTGCACACAAAAAAGCCTCTTGGTTTCACGTTTTCACCGAAAGGCAACACATTTTCCTTCACTCAGCTCCAATTAAGGAAATAAACAAAAAAATCTAAGTCTCTAAAGTAAATTATATAACTATTAATTTTAATCTCTCTAATTTGATGCACAGATCAATGCTGCAGCTATGCAATTAAGTCTGGCTGGAAAGGTTACAAAACACTCTTGAAGAACTGAAACAATGTTTTTATATTCCTGAATCATTACCCTCAGCACAACGGTACATGACTACTATGAACGAGTTAACAAATCATGATTTTCAACTCCAGCCTTCACCATCAGCCCCCAACACAATCTCAAATCTCAACTCAAAGATTCCTTGATCGAAGGTGACCCTGTTGAAAATAGCTTCAAAGATAGCCGAGTACACGCTGCTTACCAATTCTACTTTACATCAGCTACCAAAGGCCAGTGCTCTTTTCATCTGCTGGTCCACTGAACTTTTGCCTTACTGGTCATGACAAATACTTCCATTTTATTCCTTTTAAAAAAACTTCTCTCTTGCCCTCAATAAGTGCATTTTAAGAGAGAATGAGACCTGTGCAAATGATTTAGGTAAGCATACCCAAAGAAGGGATTTAATCACTGTTCTTCACAAGCTAGAGCTCACCTCCGTTGGACTCAATTAAGATTTTATTGCATATACTGACCAAAAAGCAATACATAACAGTGCTGTCCCCAAGACCAAAATGAAATTAAGCACATGCCTGCCTCAGTCTACCTCCTTCCAGCACACCATCAAATAGGTATGAATAAAATACCAAAAACAACATCATCTCTTACAAGCTGTAAGCAACTCGTGCTAGTGCAAGAGAAAAAATTAAAATAAACACGAAATACAAATGTTACCTTACGTCACCAGCTTCTTCAACTAAAAAAAAAAAATATTTCCTTCCAAAAATGCACTTCATTTCAATCCACAGTCCCAATACTCATCCCCACGCACTACGAAATTCAGTTTTCATTCCTTAAAAATAATTTTCTCCTTGTAGGCTGCATAGACTAGTGAAACCTAGCTGGAGTAGCAGGTTGGAAATGCTAGGGGTACAACCATGTTATTTCTTTTACAAATACATTACAGATAAAGATAACTGACCTGCCATTCTCCCCGAGACAAAAAAGGGAGAATAATCATCACTGAAAGATTCTGAAATATTTTTTTCTTTAACTGAAGTCTCCCAATCATATCACTTCAAGTTAATTCCACTTCCTTTCACTATCCTTAAACAATACCATCATATAGAGTATATTTTGAAATTCATAAATTGATTCAATGAGGCTTGGCAAAATGGGTTAATGTACTCCCCGGGGTATAAAGGAAGGAAAGTCGATACTTTACCTCTAGATACAGATTTAACAAGGCCATACCATGTCCAATTCTAGTGCCTTCATTTTAAAATAGACACTGCAAAGCAGCCCAGTATTACATGGATACAAAAATAATTATGGAGCTAGGAGGAAAGATAAAAACTAGTGAGAGATATTAGGTGCAGAATTTGTTCTACAAAAAATAAGAAGAAAACCGATTCCAATGTAGAATTGCTTTCACGAGAAGAAAAAATGAGTAACAAAAATGAATTTAACACAGCCATGTCAATTCTAACAAAAACTGGAATATAAATGTCAAATGAAAAATGACATGAAGACATTGAACTGTAAAGCTAATCAACCATTAAGACAAACTTGCAGTGGAAAAATTCTATGTTTCCACTACGACTGAACATTTTTCTGGAAGTATGCCTTAGTAAAAAACAGACATCGCTAAGTGCAACTATAACAGCCTATGACTAAAGCATCAAATCAGAAGACGTAACATTTCGGATTAGACAAAAAAAGATTCTAAGCAGCTTAGATTTTTCAGCCATTTAACCATTTCCTTTTGAACACGGCACCCTCCTGCATTGCCTTCCTATCCTGATTCTTGAGACAGGGCACCACTAGTCTCACCAATGGCTCCAGCACCTGACACTGTTTACAATTCTTCCATCCGTCTTCTGCATCTCTGAATAAATTGTGTCCTGTAGTATAAAAAGGAATCTGAGGAACCCATGAAATTACCTAGCACTACAGGACCATAGAAAGCTCAAGAGAGAGGAAGGAAAAAAAAATAAAATAAAAAAGAACAGTGAAATCAATGCTCTGTAATTCTATAATCGCCAAGTAAAGCATTCAAACTATTTAAATTCTAACAAATTCCAGACCAAACCTAGCACGTTTATCATTTGCTCTCTCCCAGTGAGGGTACTTTCAAGCATCTTTATACATTGGCTACTGAGTTGAAATTATTCTGTTCTCATTTTAAAATTTACCAAAAAGAAAAAGTCAGTTCAGAACAGCAAAAACTCTTCCAATATTAAAGAGATGAAGTGAACAAATATATAAAATAAATACAGCAAAATTATGAAGAAAAAAGGAAAAAGAAAAAGCTAAGAAGTCATACAGACTGGCTGCTTCCACGGGGTAGGTACCTAAGTTTACATTAGGTACATATTAAAAAGTATAAAATATGGAACAGAAAGCCCCTTTGGATTTTTATGAATCTGTAGAATTTCTCCATTGCCTATCAAGTCTGAACACCCAGCTAAGAGCTTTTATTGACATCATCCTCCTTTATTCAGCATGTGTTTTCCCAGGCATTAGAAATTAACATGAATTTGACAGGTATAAGAAAAATAATAATGTCTTACAAAATAAGAAGAAAAAAAGCATCAATGTCAGGTCACCTGTATCATGCAAAAGGATCACTGACTAACCACAGAGCAGTACGGATACATCAGCACAGCACAGTCAGCAAAGCTTTGACTCAGAATAACTCTGACAAGACTGTTCTGAGTTTTGAATCTTTTTTTTTTTTTTTTTTTTTTTTTTAAACTCAGGGCTGCTTTGGGCTGGTAGGATACAGAGGTTTGAGCCAGGAGTAATTTGAAGGTCTCCTGAGATATGTACATGTCCCAGAACAACTGTGTTAGCACTGAAATTAGGAAACAGAGACTATACCCAACTACTTCCAACTTGCCCCACAACAATTTACTACCACAAGGAGATTTTGAACCAAACTATGATCAAGAACGTGCAGTGGCACTAAGAGGAGGACTTCAGCATTACAGATCCAAATATACAGTACCAGTGTGCGAGAAGACTGCAGAGTAATGCTATAGCAGAATAACACTTTTATAGCTGAGGTCTTTTGACAAAAAAAGGAAAAGGCAAATGCTGGCTAAATGAAAGACATCTGTTCATTCCAAATTACCTGAATATTATTCAGATAAAGCTAAACAATTCCTCAAAACAGAAACTTTATCTTGACTTTTCATAATAAAATTTTTAGCTATCTAATGCCAAATGATATCTCACATAGAAATTTATTTCATTCTTATTTTAAAAGTTCAAAAGTGTGACATTTCAATTTAGTCTTTTCTTTTTTTGGAATTGCAGTCAAATCTAAAGTCAGTCATATGCACAGCTTTATGCTATCCCCTAGCAACACAGATGGAGCAGGTGGGGAGTAGGTGGAGTGGAAGATGAGGAAAGATGTCTCATTCTTTACAAGAATGCAACATCCAAAATTCAGGTGGGTCTGAAAGGAAGAGGT